ATTACGAAACAAAGAATAGAAAATTCGCTTTTTTACAAATTAATTTAAAGCAATCAGATCATTGAAGCAAAAGATTTCCTTTTTAAAGATCTGAACAAAATGTTTCCAAGTAGCTGTAGATCGTTTGGGGGATTAAATTTCGATTCCGAGAGAATAGTTTATGTAACAGCGAAAGTTTATGCTAAGGTAACATGCAGGCATAAATCTAGAGATAGTTCGCTGATAAGTTTAGATAAGTATGTCACAAAGTGAGGATACGACAATTTATTATTACTGCATCGTTTATAATCGATCTTTACACTGATATATATATATATATATATAACCTACCTGTTCGACTAGAAAGTTTGTACAAGAAAATATTGTTGTAGAAACACAGAGATAATGTATCGGAATTCAATGACTTCTACTTGACCAGATTCTCTCTTTTTTCATATCAAAATCTACAAGGAAGTAATTTTCAAGTTTTCATTTTTATATTGATGGGTGGAGAGTATCCATCCAAGACTGAATCTTTCTCATGCTAATAAGTGATTAAAATTTTTTAAAAGAAGGCAGTAACAGCCATCGAAATGCAAATGCGATGTCTTTAGCCTTATTGATTTGAAAAACTGATAGCAGATATTATACTAATAAGAGATAGAGGATAAGGAAGTATTGGCACATATATTTGTCAAGTACATTGTGCACACATAATACTGAATAAAGAAAGGGAGGGAGAATCAGAATGAGATGGATGAAATATGCTTAATACATTCCCGTGAGAATATTCCGTTCTGCAGTAGGGCATGGAGAAGACTAAATTCAAGCCAACAAAGCCATTCCAAAGCCATTCTAAGTTGTTAGTGCCAGTATTTCAACTTGGCTCATCTGATAAGTTCAGTGAGACGACCGCATCTGATCCCAGCACAATAAAGCCATAATTTTTTTTTTTTCAATCACTCTGTACTGTATGTTGCCCTTTCAGTCATATAATAACCTTTGTAATAGAAAGGTATTTTGGCAGGTGGCCCGTTTCACTCGAAAAACATTTTGAGGATTTCTATGAAGTTTGGGAATTTCGAATTCGCTTTATATCATGGTAGAGTGCCAGTAGGGATGCAAATCGAGATTTTAATAGAGAAAAAAGGAAGAATTTAAAATAGATTAAAGCGTTGAAATGAACCCTGAAAATATTCTCGAAATTAGTCAACGAAAATAACATAAACGACAGAGAAGATAAACGACACATTTGCGAGTTATGATGAACTTCTAACTTTGAGTTTGAAACTGTTATTCGCATGGATTGAATTAGATCGTAAAAGAATTTATAATTTCAATTATTTTATTAGATTAACAGACGAGATTCCTTCCATTTATTCCAAAATAGCAAAGAAATCCATAAATTACATTCGTTTCGCTGATCCTAACAGCAAAACTTACAGGTTGGATGGTCAGTGGAGTTCCGGAATCACTTCCATGGTATGTCATGGTCATTAATGGTCACCATAATTTAAAATCTTAACAGAAAAATTTAATAAACTTTAAATACCTTTCTATTATGATATCATCTCTAATGGAGTCATTTTATCATTCTTTTTACCATTAATCATCGATATTATTGAGTTGTTAACCATACAGTTATTCAGAAGTTACGAAACATTACAAGAAATTCATTAAATTTTCACGACATATATGTATATATATAACCAAAATTTTCATTAAATAAAATATATTTGCAAATAAACAAAACAATGAGTCATAGGCGTCAGGTGACAATTGCGCCAATTGACATAACAGTAAAGATAGAGAATTTGGTCTTTTTTTCTCAGAACACTTTCCGATAAAAGTGCGCCACTTTGTCAGTAGGACAAACAAACTGATCTGGCAGTGCACATATTGTCTCCACGTCTTGAATGAACATAAAACAGCTACCTTTCAAGCAATGTATTTCGAAAAATCTAAAAAAAATTATGAAAGAAAAAGTTTGGTTTGAATTATAGCAAAGGGGGTGATACTAAGAGAAGGATTAACAAACTACTCATCATTACAAGGAGGAAAATAAAAGTTTCCATAATTTCTTTGAAAAAGTTAGGGAAAGAAGTGAAGAAAGAAAAGAGGGTGAAATTATTCTGGACAATGAATAATAATAAAGGGAAGCGAAAGTAATTATTATATAATCCTTGGACCCTTAAATTTCTCAATTGAAGGCCATAAGGCTGAGAATTTCAGCGCTATTTCTGTCACCACTTACAAAGTGTTTAATAAAATTTCAATTACTTTTACACTTGTAAACACCCTTTTTGAGAAAAAACCATACTTTTTATTTTCTTGAGAATTGAAAATGAGATGAAAGAAACCTTGTAACTGAATTACATCTGGATGGCATTTTTACAAAAATGTAGTGCTCTAGTAATTTTGATTACTTTTAGATGAATCGTTAAATTAAAACAGGATTAAGAAAAGGAAATGATGGATGGATGCGAGGTGTAATGATGATATAATATGAAGTGTAGTCATGATATTAAAATGAAGTAAAATGATAGTAAAATGAAAGGGATGTAATATCACTATGAATTTTCCACAATCTGAAAAAACGAAGTGGAAAGACATTGAGATTTAATCTTGGATTGGCAAAAGAGCACCGTAAAAGTATGTGGTTGTTATTTGAAGAGTAATGGATATGGAGAGAAGATGCAGGATGAAATTTGAAACATTTTTCGTTGCCTGGGAAACAAATGAGGAATAAAAAGTAATCCATCTCAAACAGCAATTAATTTTCTACTAAATGCTTTTCAGTCTTTCAATTCTGGCTGCAAAATGGGATAAGAATATTTGTTATAAGAGAAACGATAACAAATCGGATAAAAGTATTTCCTCCTTATCAATTTAGTCCTAATCTTCAATTATTTCTCGAAATTTCAATTCCATTTAGAAGCGGAACAATTTTTCTCTCATATTTGCGGCAGCATTTGTTCTCTTGGAGGTATCAGTTGTAGGATTACTGGTTAACGATCGTAGGAATCTTCGACAGCCTTTCCAATTAATGTCTCTAAAATTATATTTTATAACTGCCAACCGAATGATGAAATCTTTTGCTTTTCTGTTTTCAGAATGTCATATAAATGTGCCATCAACTACATTTTCAACAGTTGACTCTCTTCGAATTGTCACCTTCTATCTTGGCCAACTTTACACAATATTTTATGTTTGAAAAATTTTATTAGTGTCTTCAGTCAAATTAGTCCTTCCTTTTGCTTATTTCTCAACGATACCAATATCGATTTCTATAGCTGGAGTAGAAAGAAAGCAGTTATATTCGGTAAAGCGAATGATTAGAGGAATTGTGGGACGAAATGTCTTCAATCTACTCTCAAAATTTCAGTAAGTATAACTTCTTGCTTGCTTAAATGAAGCGTAGTGTGCTCCAAATGGGCTATTTTTGGTAACTAAAACTGACACTCTGAGATGAACCGAACGTTGAGAAAATGAAGCAAACTCTCTCTTTATTCTTTCTCTTTCATTCGTTCTCCTCCTTCCGATTCCTTCCAATAGTTCCATTCATTTCCTTCACCATAAATGAATCCTCCCTTTTCTGCTTCCCTCCCTCACTTTCTGTCACTTCCACAAGTTAGCGATCTTGGGATACAATAATATGACAAAAAAGGGAAACAAAACAATGATTTGCAAGAAGTTTGTCCAAATCCCTTATATTCATCCTTTAAAAACAAATCAAAATTGCCCATCCTTATTTCCCTTCGTTTTTGTTGCGGTTGTAAAAATATTGTAGTCCTTTATTCTAAGAAAGTGCTATAACCTTATACTAACCTAATCAAAGATTAGATACAAGACAGCTGATTCTAGTACGTGTGATTTCTATCTATTTGCTTTTTTCGACCAAGTCAAATCGTCAGTTCTAAACTCCATAAATCATAAAGAGAGAGAAATCTTAAGACAACTGTCATTGCATGAAAAAGAACTATGAGCAGTAAAAGTACAAAAAATAAATAGCATTAATTCTCTTTTGGTTTTGCAGTGCTCCATAACAATCTCACAGATAAACAAACGACATTTTTATCATTTTAATTTAAAAGGAAAAAAAACCTTCCACCAATCTTTTGACTAAAAAAAATTCTCCAAAAATACTGTTCCAAGTGCGAATGAACGATTTCTTCATGTCATTTAATAATTATGAATGAAGACAGTTTCTTCCCTCCTCTAAACATTTGGTTGTTACCGCAATTGGTTTTCTTCTAATTTTTCTGAAATGAAACAGAATTTCATGAAAATCCATCCTCATAAGAAAACAAATCACTGCAGACAACAGCAACGGATGAATGCAATCATAGGCCAGATAAGTTAATCAGTTGCTAAGCTAAATTTTTCCGTAAACTTTGTCTTTGGAATTGTCTTGCATTGTCGAGCATTTGTGTAATTATGCAGGGAAACTTGAATGTCAATGTAAACAATGAAATTTGCCAGTATTATTCTTTTTATGAAAATGTCCATTTAGATCTCTTGCTAACAACACTACAACGACATGTAAAAAAGGAGCAAAATGAGTGTACCAACAATGTATCAACAAGTGTACAAAATAAGCATACAAAATTAATTTTGTCATAATCTATTGTGAAGTAGAAAAATATGAAAGCAAACGTTCTGATAGGTTTAGAACCAATTTAGAAAGTTCTTTGAAGAGTTTCCGGAATCGTACTACAGTATGGTGTTTCGATACTAAGTTCAATGATTGAATTACCTTTCCATCATGGGAGAAGATGAAAAATGCATCTGAAAATGTAAGAAAAAAAATGCAAAAAAAAAAATAGCATCAGTGCAAATGAACGAAAAAAAGCTCCCTTTCTCTCTCTTTATCTACGAATTTTTTTTTTAAAAAAAAATCAGATGATATTACAAGCTTGAAAATAAACTCGTGACTGACTAAAAGCTTTTCAAGCGTCTGAACAATACAAGAAAACAAAATTCATTAATTTATAGAAGGATAACAAGGTGAATTAAATAAGCATTTACGACAAAGCTTGTCTAATAAAGACCAAAATTACTGATGCAAAATACACAGCAATCGAGATCTATTATCAGCAACACAACAATGATATGTAAATAAGAAGCAAAATAACCGTACCGAAGTTATTGTTCATTCCACAGCTTCCGATTTCATTTCATTTGTTCATAAATCAGACAAAACTAAGTGATGAATCACTTCAAATTTAAACTGGCATGAATAAAAAAAGAAGACGAATAAAGAAACACGAAGTTTGAGAGCCTACAAAGAAGTGTTTTCAATAAAATGAACTACTCTAATCTGAGAAATGGTGGATATCACTTTTATGCCACTGAGTGGTCACAGAACGAAAGTTTGAGGAACGAAAAACAAAAAGGGGATAAACGTTGCAATGATCAATCCATCGTGCTTCCAGGAAATTGTATTCCTACATATCTTTGAAAAATTCAAGTTGCCCAAAAAGTTTTTTAAATTCAATGCAGTGCCAGCATTGACTGCTCTGCTACACTGAGCATTCTAACAGACTTAAGGTAACAATTTCATTTTATATTCTCTCTTTATCTACGAAAACAATCCGTCCTTAACATCAGTTTAACACGATGCGCCATTAATGGACTGGGAGAATTAAGAATCGCCACACAAAACACAGAGAAGCAGTAAAAAAAAAGTCTATGTATTACAGGGACTTAAGATAAACCAAAATCCATCTGAATTAATGGAATCAATCTTCTAGCACTATTAGAACGGCAACACTTGTAGAGTTGAAAAACTACGTTTTTTCAATTCAGTATTTTTGTTGCAGGCTTTCAAAACAAATTTTATACAGAAAAAAAAGCTTATTTCTGCAGGAATCAGCAATATTTGTACAAAAAGCAAGGAAATAAAATAAAAAAATGCAAAATTCGCAAGTGTAAAGAAGAAATAGTCCCAACAAAAGCAAGCTGTTGAAAAATTAGCGGAAGTTAAACGACAATAGGTAGGTTTGTCTTTTAGATATCATGGCTTTGATCTTTTCCCAATGTATACGTGAACTACTGCTTTGAAAAATATCAATATGAGCCGATTTCCAATCCTTTCATCTTTCGTAATTAAGGCCAAAAATTTCAGGCAAAACCCGAGAACATGTAAAAGGATATCGTTTCAAAACTATCAAGAGGAAAAAGCAAATATAAAAACTACTAAATTCAAAAAGGACAATCCAAAAAATGACAATTAGTACAAGCTTCAAAACATTTCAGTCACAATGTAATAATCGAATTATTTTTCGTATATTTCAACACCAAGGATTTCGGTAAGCGCTTTGTCACATTCTCCATTTGTTATTGGATTTTCTAAAATTTAACCTACTTTTGAACATGGATTATGAAATTTTGAATCATCAACCTCCAAACTAAATAGTAAGAAATAGAAACTGTAATTTACTTTCATTTAACAATTTGAGACTGTCTTCATCCAATAATTCGCTGAAAAGACTTCGCAGGAAGCGATCGTCGCTTTGCACGCTGTGCAACAGATCGGCTACATCAATCCTTTGTTCTGGTTTAGGAAATATCTCTTCATATGTCTCTGGAAAAGTAATGCATCGGTTTTTAAAAAAATATAAAATTATGGTCAAATAGCCAAATACAGATACTAAAAATGGAAAATATTCATCATTCTGTCCAGATTATGTCTACCTTACCAGAAAAAGTAAAATATTTTTGCCCAACTCCATACTGAATCATATTATTTTCAATGGAAAAAACACAAATTTCTCCTACTATTTACCTGCGCGTTCTTCGAAGTTGAACTTCTCGATATTATCGTCAACTTCTTGTAATGGATTGAAATCTTCAGTTTCTGGAGCAGAAACTATATTTCTCTCCTTAAATCAATGTGGACTTAGTTTGAATTTTGAAAGAAATCGATTAATTATCTTTGCAACAGTACATAAAATTGAAAAACATCCCATATATTTTTGAGTGTTCCGAACTCATTAGAAAATTGAAACACTTTAAATTCTGTTTTGCGGAATCAGTGAGTATATTTTTATTTTGCATCGAGATGAGTGAATCCCGAATCTGCAACAAACACCAATCAAAGAGTGATGCTGAATTTATTTTTCACTGCATACTGGAGTCCTAGTTTTTCTCCCATATTATAATAAATTTAACTTTAATAGAAAAATACAGTCCAAATCAAATTCCCCAACTAACATCTTTATTGGTTTCCTTTGCATGAAAAACATCGAATGACGACTGTGACTTTTCTGGAATTCTTCGTTTGATGGCAGCACTAACCGGTGTTGCGAATACATTTTTCAAATCACCCAAAGCGCGGCGTGGCGTTCCATATCCCTTCATGTCGATCACCTTGCCTGCACATATATTGTTGCAAATGCACAAATGATCTTACTAAGTAATTAATAATCAAACAACAATACTGACAATATTTTCATCGGCCGGTCAACCCTGCGAACACTTCAGCTGCTGTAAAAATGGAATTATAACATATCGCCTCATCGAAAAAAGCCAGTAATGTCGACAATCTTTCGTATATTTCTTATAATTCCTTCACTAGCAAGACTGCCAGCCAATTATCAATAATGTACATCGACTTGCTTGACGGTTTACATGCCTTGTGGTGTTCTTACTCTGTTTAACTGCTGTTCCCACATCCCAATAAAGTTGTATATGAGTAGTTTTATAAAGGTAACAGTAAATCTGCTTCAAACACTGATTTTAAGGCTTCTGACATCTAGAAAGGACTTCTGCACCAGTATCAGAATGAGACAGAAATCCAACTTCTCCGCTCAAGCTGTCCCTGCTAGTAACCAAAACAATCCTTCAACAAAGAAGCCTTATTACTTGTACAGAGAATTAAAATTAACCTTTGCCTTATTACTTGTAAAGATAATTGAAATTAACCTTTGATAAGACTGGAATCACTCCCGTTATCACTTCCATGGGAGATTGCTTCGGACATTTCTAAACTTCAATTGATCGGGACTAAATATGGAACCAGAATAAAATATATTGTGCTGCAAGAAGCATAAGATGCTGTTGAATTTTTCAACAGCATCTCATGGGAAAATTCGTCAAAAAAAAGTCATATAAATGATATTGGATCACTCCAACTGCAAAGCACTTCCGCAACAAAAGCGCAAAAAGAAAGGCGATAGTTACAGGGATTTATAGCATAGTTAGCAGAAATGCGCAAGATGTTTTACTGCCATTATGCGACGCATTAATGACAGCATTACTGTAGGTATCAAACTTCTTTCCCAAGAGCTGCTCTTGCCATCCTAAGTTGCATTTTGAAGTGCGCATTCAAACGACCACTTCATATCCACTTATTTGGAATCATTTAACCTACGTCACAGCTATTCAGAAAAGATTAAACTACAAACTACTAGTGGTCGACAGAGGGAAATGACATCAAACAAAAAACTCGAATTAGACTGGTTGTAAAATATTAGAATTCTTCGGATGAAAATGACATTTTGGAATAACACAAAGAAGTTTATGCAACCCTTCATTTCTGATATCAGGAAAACAAAAAAGAATATAACAAAACTTGACATTGGAAAAATGTAGTCTTTGAATGAAAAGTGACCATTATTCCCACACAGAACTGAAATGCATGCATCACTTGTACTATATCTGTGACAATCTCAAAAAACTAAATTACTCGCCCCAGCTTGACACAGTACGCTTCCTACAGTAAAATAAATAAACTAAAATTCCCTTTTTTTTTCTCTTATTCTATTCCACTCATCTCTCTTCTGTTGAGCTTCACATCCAATAGAACATATAGAATACTTTCATCCCGGTGAATCTTTATTACCTAACTTCCAACTTTATCTAGTCTAGAAAATTCAACTTTTTTGGTCGGTCGCACAGATACCAAACAGTATAATATAAAAAGAAGGCCAAAAGTGACAGTTTACATAAGAAATAGGTAAATGGAATGCGTTTCAAGAAAGGTACAGCATGAAATTGAACTGTTTGGTCCGCGCTTAGCGAAATTACAGCTGCTCGATATTCGGATGCCACTCCTGGATAAATAGAACGCTGCCGTTCATTTTCGCCATTGAGTGGACCAAAATCGTATGTCCTTTGAGGAAGAAATTCGACAGCTGAAAAAACAGTTGTAGAAAACAATATTCAGGACAGGAAAAGAAGAATCCGATGAATGTAGGAAGATGTTAATGTTTACAAATAAAGTTTTTGCATTAAAAAACAATTCGAGTGTATGTAATGCCCCGCAATAAGGAAAATAAGGTACATTATTGGTTTCTACCAAATTCTCATTCACTATAGATTTATAACAATTTGCTTCACAAAACACAGCGAACCAGCCCTAATTTAATCATTTGTCGCAGCTCACCAAAATGGAATACTTACCTGTAACGAAGATGCCATGTGTTTTCTGAGCAAAGTATAGGAGTTTCAATTCATGTGTATCATATATACCCACACCTCCATCCATTGTCCCAATAGCAAAGAAATTACCACAGTCGCTCACAGCTAGAGCGGATATTGTCTGTAACAGTTTTACTGCAAACTAACTGTACCCCAGTCTCTTCATATAATCGTTAATGGCCCAAATCAACCATAATTTAATTTAAAATACCATTACTTTAATAGTGTTCAGCAGTTTGCAGCATACGTGAGCGATTAGAATCTCAAGAACTATTGTCGATTATTTTCAGAAGAAAACTTACAAACGGACCAACAAGCACTTTTGCGAATTGAGAACAAAACGAGAATTCAATAATGGCCAAATAAATTAGATGACCTCTTTACAAGCTTCTCGAACAAGTATTGGTCGACATACATTTCGTTCATTATTGAATGCCCATAGTGCAACATGTGATACAGCTTTTTTTGCAAGTCGAATTTGATTGTAAGTTACCAAAAATATTGTGTTCTTAGAACCAAGAACTGTAAAGCGCACTGACCGGACCTGTAGGATGGAGTTCACCAATTTTGAAAGTTTAAGAGTTTGAATTCAGTTAAACTGTAAAACTCGCTTAGTTTTATGCATCTCAAATATGTCTTAAACATGTATCCAAAGCTCACCAATTTAATCTGTTGTTCAAAAAGAAAAAAGTGTACACGGTGGGACATACTCTTCAAGTTTTCCATAATTACTTCGCAAAGTACCTAAGCTATGTCGCATCCGTTTTTTTTCTTTTTTTAAATCTACTTAAAATTGTGAAAGAAAATCCACAATCTATTTACCCTAAATCCATCACTAATTTCATTCGGTAGCGGTAAGCTGCAAATTTTTTCCCCATTTGCTGTATTCCAAATATATACAGCAGCATCGTGTCCCACACTGATGCACAACTTTCCATTCGGCGAAATATCCAAATCATCTACATCCCCTTGATGAGCTTTAATTTTTATCAGTGGAGTATGTTTCGAGGTAGAAATCTATAACACACACAGAAAAAAACTGCCATACATAATGCACCATTTAGGTAACTGAACAAATCAACCAAAGTTTTAATGACTACAAATTAATTGTGAATATTCACAGACAATTGAGAAAGGAAAAACGCCCAAAATGAAGTAACCGTAAACACTTACTTGTCTTAATGTTTCCACATCCCAGATGCGTATACACCCATCTGCGCCACCCGTATATAGCTTCTGAGGTCGGCCTTCAATACTCCGGTCGAATCGAACGGTTTTCTACATAGAATTCATTTTATTTTCCAGAAATCTAATTCTAATTTATTAATATATTTATTTCACATTGCATTTAATTAATTTTTCCACATGAGAAATGAAATATTTTCATGGCCGTCCTTTCTGACTAAAAATCTTCACCTGGTAAGCATTACTCGATTTTTCATCTGAAGTTACCCGAGATATTTTCTCGAAATCCAGCGCCAATCGCGGCTGCTCATTCTCCCTTACTTTTAATAAAGAAAATCCCTTGGATTCGTATAAATCACAGTACTGAAGTCAGACGAAATTTTAAGCGTACTTATTGAAACGACAGATTATTTGAGGAAATTATCTGAAATTTTCATTTTATAATTTTGAAATTATAAAATGCTAATAGCTGTGGTGCTAAGAGCACTCACAGTCGATGCTGATACAAAAGAAAAACACTGTGTCTAAAATGAATAATAAATCATTGATAGTGTGTAAGCAGGAGAAAAAATAAGTAATGTGAATGCTAACATTTGTTCTATTACTGCTTATTTCAGAAATAACTGATCACTCTACAGCTACCCCCTAATAAAGTAAATTTATTGAACTATGAAGGCAGAAATGGGTGAATAAAGTATTTAAATTTCATTATTTCAACCGAAGTCATCGAAATTATAATTAGCTACTGACCTCATCATGTCCAGCAGCTAAGAGATATTTACCCTGTCCCGAAGCTTCCAATAACACACAGTCCATATTCATCGTTGCATATGGATCGGTTTCCAATGAGTTGGTAACCTCCGTTACCAACGGTAAGCGTTCAGTGGCCCTTGGTGAATTCTCCGCTGCAACTGCCAATGACTTTGAGTTGAACGAAAGTAGCAAGGTCTGCAAAAAGCATTGCTCTTGCGCATCGTTCTTTTAAATTTCTTGAACAGTTGCTTATCTATTCCACAGATAATCAGTTTCGATCTTAAAAAGTGATTTCGTGTCACAGGTACAGTAATTATAGTCTTCAATTGCTTTTAGTTTCCTCGACAAAGCACCTGGTTTAAGCATCAATTCGTATTTGTCCAACAAATATGACCTTGCATAAATCCATTTTCGGCATATAATCCTTGACTAAATTCTAAGAAATGAGCTATTTTTAAATCATTCTCTTGCCAACCTCTCAACAGATTCATTTCATACAAATCATCAGTTATGATATCAAACCACTATTTTTTTCCTTTAGCAATAGAATAAAGCAGTTTCTGTTGTTTTAAATGTTGTCTGATAGATGGATGTTGAAACTAAAAGGTAACTATATGCAGCCCATAACTGCTGCAAACTTTGCGATATGGATTCCGGATCCATTCGAGAATTCTTTCTTCCTCTTCATTACATTTTCATTCTCCATGTAGAGGAAAGGGAAGGGGAAGAGGAGACGTATAAGCTTAAGCAGTAATTTAAAAATTATATGACAGCAGTAATTATAACATCGCCGATAAAGATAACATGAGAGATGACAATAATGATGGTCAAAAACTGTTACAGTCGATGTGTATCAATCTTCCTCGTTTCATGATGCAAAGAAACCTCATGCATTCCATGGAAACACTTCACTTAGGTTATGGAAAAGGTAAAGGAGGGGAAAAAGAACAAACCTGAATGTTGTTTGGTACTCCAGTTTTTGACGCTCCTCCACCACCGCCGAGGAGAATATGCCTACTACCAATAACTTGCACACAATAGATCGGTGACGAGCAACGGGCGATGATATGAGGTCCACCCTTCGATGTTGAATTCCCCATCCGATTAACGCAACCAGACCGCCTTAAATCGGAATAATCCAAGGAAACTTCTCTGGACCACTTCAACACATACAGAAATCATGCTTTCCTCTCAGGACCTTAAAGGACACTTTATTTTAAAGTTGTCGTGTGGTACCACCTTATGATATTATACCCATTGAATGTCATCCCCTCGCTTCAGATTATTTCTATTGAATATCATGTTCTCATTTCAGGCATTTTAGTCGAATATAATGTCCTCATTTCAGGTTATCTTAAGTGAATGTCGTGTTCTCATTGCAAGTTATTTCAGCCGAATGTCGCGTCCTTATTTCAGCCGAATGTCATGTCCTCATTTCAGTTATTTTAGTGAAATGTAATATTCTAATACCACATTTTAGATACTTGGAAATTCGGTGACTATGTTATGGGTCGTATTGTATTCAACAAAGAATTTCAATAAAAAGTATTCAGATGAACTGAAGAAATTCACTTTTGTATTCGAAAGTTGAAGAAATCAACTTTTCGGTCAATATGGGCATCTTAGCTTAAATTCAATTTTTAGTTTGTTTTTTATCTTTAAAAATTTTTAAATCCCTTCTTTCTTTCGATTCTTTTCTCGTTTTTTAATCAATTCGCCGTTCGATCTTACACAATGATATAGTGTAATATGGAAGTTCTCGTTTTAAAAAATGACCCACCAGCAGGGGCTACGTTGTGAATTTTCAAAGCGAACACTAATAATGATAAAGACTAAAGTCATAGGTAAAATGGTGAACTGTGGACTTTAGACTTTAACATGATTAGTGTTTGAATGATAAAATCTTGATTATTTCGTTTCACATTAAAAAAATGATTGCAAACAAGACTTTAACTAAAAATGTCCTATAAAAATTACTCCGTCTCCATTGTTCCACTTTCACGAATTTTGATTTTTCCCTCTCAGTGATTGTCATCGTGATATTATCAGTTTAATTTTAGATGAGAGTTTTTTCAAAAAAGAACATTCCTTAAATTAGCAAACATCCTTTATTTTTGAAATTCATTTTCCTTATCATTTGTTCTTACCTTTCGGAATTCTTTAACTAAAATTACTCAAATTTTGTTGCCACTTAATGAGGTAACTAGTGACTTAATAGATATCGTTGGTTACTGAGTATGCGGAATGCAATTCATGCAGCACTGAATATTTGGGATGCAATTCATCGGCTATATATTGTTGTTCTTTCAGCACTTCTGAACGTCTAATTCAATCTTTATATTTGCGATTAGTAAAAAAATACGAATTATCACCTGACATTATGTGCGGAAAAAATACTTCAATAAGATAATGTTGTAAAGTAGTTTGTAGCGATGTAAAAAATCACTTTTTATTCCTTTATTTCTTTTGAAGTACGAAGATTTATCAACCAGTGATGCTTAATCAAACGTTTACAACTCACTAGTTTTAAAGGTTAACGGTGTATCAGTGGCAAAATCTGAAGTGGAAAACTGGATCTTGAATTGAACAGATACGGACTGATTTAATTTATTTCATTCCAGATTTACAAAATGATTGCAAACAGTACTTCAATCTGTAGTTTGCTATTGAAATTATTTCGTCTTCATCGCTACACTTCCGCAAATTTCTGTTTCAGTTAGTTATAATTTTAAGAGGAGTTCGTTTTTCTAAAATTATTAACCAATAATTATTGTAGAATTTGAAGAATTCTTATACTTTACTCAATAAGTTCCAATTTTCTAGACTTTACGAATAGTCAGCAGCAACTTAACGAAGCTGCACGTAAATTTGTAGCTGATGAAGTGACACCAGTAGCAGCTGAATACGACAAAAACGGTGAATTTCCATGGCAAGTGCTTAAAAGAGCTCATGCTAATGGGTTGATGAACACGACGATCCCTAGCAATTACGGTAATTTTTTCAGTTTTCATTTGTTTTTATGTATTAAGCTAAATAATTCCATCCATAATTACAGTTGTGAACTTCTATAACTTATTCAGCTTACTAAAAATGTTGCCCAAGAAATTGTTTTTGGATTTCAGTTAATCGAACTTATCTATGACAATATGCTATCTTTACTAGTTGTGAATCGCTGGGACTTAAAATCTGAAATCATTTCAAAAACCATTGCAGGTGGCTTGGAACTGGATATGGTCACAAATGCTCTAATTTACGAAAGATTCGGATATGGCTGCACAGGAATAAGCACAGCGATGTTGGTGAATATCCTTGCTGAAACACCGCTTATTTTAGCAGGTAGCAATGAAATAAAAAAAAAGTATCTGGGACGAATGGTCGAAGAGCCCTTGATGGCTGTGAGCGTTTTTTAGCACTGGATCTCGTTTTAAATTTCACTATTCAACTTTTGTTGCAAATGGATGTAATCTATAATTTTCGTTTGACCGTACTTTTGACTTGTTTATTCCCGAAAATGACCCCAGTGATCTCATCAAAAAACCTGTTTGATTCTCAGACTACATTTCATTCTGTTATTTCGAATTTCCAACAATTTTAGCCATCACTTTGCACCGTTGTTTACAGAAGTTAATAAGGAGTACCCAGCTAGCATTGGATTGATAATTTATTGCTGTCTGCATACTTCCTACGCATCAGAGACTAACTTTTGACTTACCTCATTGAGCCCTTTTATTTTTAATTTGGACCTTTTAACTATGTTATATTGTAGTCGTTCGCAGTCACAGAGTCATGCGCCGGTTCAGATGTTTCGGCTATACGGACTTCTTGTAAGAAGAAGGGTGATGAATATGTCATTAACGGGTCCAAGATGTGGATTACCAATGGTGGAGTTGCTAACTGGTTTTTCGTGCTTACACGGAATGATAATGATCCGAAAACACCTGTTAACAAGGCCTTTACGGCATTTGTAGTTGATGCTGATAAACCGGGCATCAATATTGGAAAGAAAGTCAGTTTTGAAAAGTTTCCTGTAATTTAACAACTCCAGTTTAATTGACTTTACTCACAAATCTTGATGAGCTCCAATTATGCCAACCTGCATTATTGTGCTGTGTCGCTGCAAATGCAATGTCAAAATTTATTTATGTTATTCAGCACTTTTATGTGCAAAGTTTTTTCTTTTTTTTTCCACTGGCACGTTAATGGAATAGAAACGATTGACTCTAGTCAAGTACACATAATAGCAATTACAGAAGTAATGCTGATAAAACTAAGGAAAGAATGTGAAAGTTAGTGTGATTTCAGGAAATAAATATGGGGCAGCGTACATCAGATACACGTGCAATAACATTTGAAGATGTCCAAGTACCAAAATCACATATGATTGGTGGTCTCGGCGAGGGTTTTAAGATTGCTATGAAGGCTTTTGATATTACCAGGTAAGCAGCTGCTGTTAATTAAAAATCGATAATTATGGAGCTATTGAGAACTTGATTTCAAAAAATTCCTTCAATGAAAAATCATCAGTTGGCACTGTTTGAGATTATTATTCTCTTACAAGATTTAAAAAATTAAGTGACGCAATAAAAGGTAGAATTGTTCAGATCACTGGTGGCAGCAATAGCAACTGGATTAGCATCTCGTTGTCTAGATGAGGCCAGCAAGTATGCATTAGAGAGAAAAACATTTGGTACTCAAATCGCTAACAACCAGGTATAGTTACTGGTACGAAATGCTGTTTGGGATTATTATTCTCTTCCTTCACTCATAAATTAAGAGGCTCTTTTAACTTTCTAACACCATGATCACACCTGCACTGCTCCCGAGGTCAACCAATATTCTCATCCTTAAAAACGTGTTTTTCCATATTGTCATTTATTACGTATTAGTTCATCAAGTTCAGTGATATCAGGGTATATCATTCATGCTGGCTGATATGGCTATAAATTTGGAGCTTTCACGGCTGATGACTCATCGAAGTGCATGGGAAACGGAGCTAGAGCAAAGCTCAGCTGCCTCGTATTATTCATCTATTGCTAAATGTTTCGCTGCAGATACTGCCAATATTGCTGCGTCCAACGCTGTTCAGATTTTTGGCGGCAAGGAACCATTTCTAATTCTTATTTTAAAACTGGTGTTTATTTTACGAAATTTTGATCATAATTGCCAGTGAAAATGCAGAATTCTTAACAGTTCTACCTTCCGTTATGTGTTTAAAATCATGGCATATAGGGCTGAAATTCTTTATATCATTAATTGTTATAGGAAACGGATTCAATACTGAATATCCAGTGGAGAAGTTAATGCGTGATGCAAAAATACTGCAAATTTATGAAGGCACCAGCCAGATCCAAAGGATTATTATTGCTCGGAAGTTAACTGCGCGAATTCGAGAGACCGGAACTACGAGCATCCTTACGTGATATAAAGGGATGGAGCTTAACTGGACCTGAAACTTTTATTATACGATTCGAGGGTTGAGGAACTTTAATTACGACGAATTCCTAAAATGAAGCCACAAAAGGCCTTATTGAGAAAAAATTTACGCATTTATGTGAATTGATAATTCCTTATTTTGAGAAATTTATCATTTCCGATCAGTACTGTGACTAATTCTGATCTTAAAATACCAAAATTCATCTTTCTGAAATTAGTTCCACAAATGATAATAGTAACGTGCATTAATGAATAATGTTATACATGGTGCTGCATTC